GTAAAATAAATCATTGGACCAACAGAGTTCTATATTAACTTACTAATACAGAACTCGGCGTACGATACATCTTTGCTGATATCATGTTGGGCTACAGTCCCTTCTTGGAATCCCCTTTGGCGATTTTTGTTTAAACCTTAGTTAGGATGTACATCTAAATCACTTCATCTCTAAATCACTCCTCCACCCCTCCCCCAAACCTTAACATAATTAACAGCGTTTATAGATTATAGCACCATCAAAACAAACCATACTATACGAGGGGAAGGCGGCAGGAGAAAGCTTTCTAATAACACTTTGATAGTATTTTCAATAGGTCTAGTTTTATATTGACACAGACATGTTGTGACCTCAGCATTACAGGCTTTGACTCGAAAATTTCCTAAGTGCTTAGAGTTACTCAGTGTTTAGGACCGCCCCTTGTGTTCCTTTTACATCGCAGGCAAAAATTAGAACCCCTATTCCTTTTTTTGTTCTGGGAATACAACTATGTTAATTTGTTTCTTCATTTTAGGTAGGGGAGATACATTGTGTAAAAGTTTCAACGTACATAGTATGCCAAATGTGACTGTAACTGGGACAGAATCTTGTCACACTGGGGTTGCAATGTTGTGTAAAGAACATTATTATCTTACATCATTACCGTTCACCCGCAAAGACTGGAGAGGGGGACACAAATCTCGTCTCTTAAACCTATTAAATGCTTCAGATACTCGTAACTGGGATGAATATCTCTTCCTTTTTTGCTGATATTGTTATGATACTCATTTTTTCAGTAATAAATTTTGCCATCGGATAATTAATGTAAAACTGTGAAACTGTAAAATTATACGTTCGCCAAAGGAATGATAGTGAAGAAATCGACACGTTTCCGCCTGTTGGACAATTTTTATCGAATGTGTAGTTTCGGTTTCAGCAACTTTTATTGTCATTTAAGACACATATCTATATGGATTTTTAAAAAAAATGAAATACGTTGATAGAACGCAACAAGAAATGGAAATTTGTAGTTTCCAAGCCTTTGAAGTCATTAAACTTTGGCGGCCATTTTCTCGCCATTCTTGCCTCTGACAACCCCCATCTCCTTCAGTCGCAAATATCTCGACGTCGATTCATGATAGATGGCTAATTTTTTTTTTTATTAAAAGAGGCAAATGAACAAGCGTTAAGATTATTCTGATAGCTGCATATGCCCCAAAATAGACGAGACCCTGATTCCACCAACTCAGGTGATGAAACTATGTGGTACTGCCAGGATGGTGCTTTTTATATGAAGAAAAGAAGGCCTAAAATTATATAATGACCTATCTGCAGTCGGCACACTTTGGAGTGACCATTCAAAGAAACCAAATACATTGCTCGGATTGGGTTTTCTCAAACGTTCCAGAAACCAAAGAAGTATAGTGACCTAAGAATAGAAGTCGAACGGCCTGAATGAGAAGATGTACTAACTTTGGTATAAGTAGAATTGAGCCCTCCATTAGGAGCTGACAAGACATACTACGTATATTCGATGTTCCACCCTCTGTAGGTCATACTAGGTCGCTGTGACGTTATTCACGATGCTTAAAACTCATATTTTAAAAGGGACAAAGGGGGGGGGGTATGTGTTCAACATTTACGTTTACCTTAACTTTGATGGAGTATTTCATCGCTGGCGAATCGGAATTGAAAACAAGTTACACCCTCAGGGGCATGATACAGTGTACATGTTTGGATCTTTATTCGCCACAGGCACAAGAAACGCAATAGTATGTATGCTGGCTGCATGTACAGACTTCAACATAAGTTAAGGACCACCTTGACAGACAGCCCTGATTTTTTAAAACATCCTTAAAAAAGATGGAAGGAGAGGCAGAGGCAGACAGAGGGAAAAGATACTGGACAAGGTAACAACATGGCTAGGAGCAGCAAGAACAACAGACACCATTGCTGCAACGCAAGACGGAGTGAAATGGAGGTTCATGATCGCCCACGCCAGTCGGCAAGGCACTGGATGATGTAAAAAAGACAGCAAGGAATGTTTCAAAATGTTTTGCTCTGAAAGCGTTAATGGGTTACCAATGCGTATTTCAACGCTTCCTAAAGGGGCAAAACCACCACATGCAGCAAGGAAATCTTCGGGGAATTTTAGCCAAATTTGTTGGTTTCTATCGACTTGTGTGCGACACCACGGACATTCTTCAGTTTAAATTTCTGGTGCACGTCATAAATGGACGTATGGTCTCGAACTGAGGTCACTTTGGTGGCAATATAAGCCACAGTTTGCGCAATATCCAGTATCGCATCCAAGACGAAAGCTGGGAAACTTTGATCGCGCCAGGGCTATGGCATGGCTGCATGATGGAGTTGGAGCCCAAGAAGATACTAGAAGGCTTACAGTGTCACACTCTGTCATTGTCCGCTTGAGGCAGCGCCATCAAGCCACTGGATCAGTCCAAAAACGCCCACGAGCAGGTTAACCTAAGAAGACCACTCACATGGTTTGCAAGTGGTCCTTAACTTATGTTGAAGTCTGTATGAATGACAGGCTAGAAAGTTGAAGATAAAGTGAGAAACAAGATGGCAATGCGAAACGTAGAAAGGTAGACAAAGGAAAAAAATAGAGAACTACAGACAGAATCACACCTACATGAACTAACACATTTTAATGAAAAGAAATATTTTTCTTATGTGCATACAGCTTTTATGGGATGTGTAGCAGCCTGGGTTATTCGTATAGCGTGTTTAATTTTGTTAAGATAAAGCATTTTTTTTTCTATTTTACTTAAAGCTAAAATACCACAGGAAAATAGTTTTGTTTGAATAACAGTCGAGTCTTAACTCGTTCACCGAGATAAAAACACATATTGTGCGTAAAATCTTAAAGAGCTCACAACATTCACACTGCATTATTTTTCAACCATGTTTTGGGATTCTTGGAAATGTATTCTGAGGAGAAAAGATGATCAACAACACTGTCCTCTCATTTCGTATATGGCAGAGGTCATTATGTTTTATATGTGGGGATTATTTCTCTTTGCAGAGACCAGCGTTTTGTTTTCTTGAAGATACTATAATGCGGTCAAAAATTCGTGGGGCGACTTATCCTCAAAAATCTCTTTAACCGGCGAATCAATGTTACCCATACTTTGCAGAGCAGTTTGTATCAATTTGTCTTAACTTCATCACATTTTTTCACAACCACTGAGGCTCGATTAAAAAACTTTTCTTCATAAATTTATATAAAATACTAAAAATCTCCATCACATGGAAAAAAATGATTGTTCATATTATTATCACTTCCCGCTTCTCGCACACATTTAGCACACGTCTGCGTCACACTTTTTTGTGAATAAACGTTTTACAAGAAATTAATTTTATAGCGAACACATTTTTTTGCACCAAAGGTTCCCTAAACATACGTTCAATAAGCATACAGTTTGCGAATAGAAAAAAATGACAGACTTGCTTTTAAAAGCGATATTGACCGAGCTGTAAACTTTTAAAAATCTGTAGAAACCATCGACAGTTATTTTTTTAATTAGAATCTATTAAAGATTTTTTTTTTTTAAACAGTGTGAGGGAGCTAAAAAAATATTCACCTGTTAAGACAAATTCATATACGTCATTGTGCAAAAGTTGGAGAATCTATGTTCTATAGTTAAGGAGATACTTGACAATAAGTTGAGCCATGGATTTTTGACCTCGTAATCAGGACTTCCTGGATTCCGCTGAAGCATCAATCTCATAGGATAACCAGATTTTCAAAAGGGCATTCAAAGGTTCTCTAACAGTGTTTAGTTTAGTTTAGATTAGTTTAAGTAGAGGTTTTACGCTGCTCAAAACTGCATAAGGTCATATGAGCGCCAGAAGATTAGAGATGTTACAAGAGAGTAACAAACATAAAAAATGAAGAAGGGGAGATAAGAACGATAGATGTTTGATAGGAAAGAAGTGGGAAACCACACCAGAGCACCCGCCAACCACCCACAGTGTTTAGTTTGCTCAGTAGGTATAACACTGCTACAATGTGAGTGACTGTGTGTCAAATAGCTGTGAAGCGCATTATGTGTGTTATAAATGCAATTCTTCTTCTTCTTCTTCTTCTTCTTCTTCTTCTTCTTCTTCTTCTTCTTCTTCTTCTTCTTCTTCTTCTTCTTCTTCATCTTCTTCTTCTTCTTCATCTTCTTCTTCTTCTTCTTCTTTTTCTTCTTCTTCTTCTTCTTCTTCTTCTTCTTCTTCTTCTTCTTCTTCTTCTTCTTCTTCTTCTTCTTCTTCTTCTTCTTCTTCTTCTTTTTCTTCTTCTTTTTCTTCTTCTGCTTCTGCTTCTTCTTCTTTTTCTTCTTCTTCTTCTTCTTCTTCTTCTTCTTCTTCTTCTTCTTCTTCTTCTTGTCCTCCTCCTCCTCTTTCTTCTTCTTTTTCTTCTTTTTGCATTAAGGGGTGTAAACCCAAGCCATATCACACGGGTTTTATGATTCTGACTCTTTCCTGTGGAATACTCAACGTTGGTGCAAACTGTCAAATTCTCATTCCGTGTTTGGGGCTACATTAAGCATAACCAGAATTCAAGAAAGAAAGAAAGAAAGAAAGAAAGGAAGAAAGAAAAAAGAAGGAAAAGAAAAGGTGCCTCCTATTCCACTAGAAAGCAAGCTCTAGAGTTGCATAATCATTAATTTAAAGTAGACAATACACAGACTCAAACATACACATAGACACAATAACAACAACAACAAAACACATGCTGAAGCAAAAAAAAAAAAAGAAAAGGAAAAAAAAAGAATGACAGCATTCATGCATTAAAAAGATATGTTTTCAAATGAGTTTTTCTAAAGACTCAGTATTTTCTATTTTTCTCTCAATTTTTGTAGGAAAATGTCTTCCGATTTTACGATTTGCAAATACAACAGACCTATTTAACAAATGATTTGTGTTTCAACTTTGAAATTCTTAATCTAGTGGTGTCAGTAAAGTTGCTGACCACACGTGTCTTGAACTGTAATAACTTTTGCGATACACACCTTTAATTCCCGTTTCCTGTCTGTCTTTCTTGGGCGTCTAGATGTGTAGAATCAACAGCTTGGTCCACCTAAGCAGAACACTGGAATAAAAGAAACAGAGCACCGTAAAAGTTTTTGTAGTCTACCCATTTATATCTTGATATTTCAAGTCCGCATCGACTCAACTTTGATCATTTAGAAGATCATTTAAATAAAAGGAAAGCTGTTTCAACGATGTTTGTCGGGCTAACCTGGGCATGATGGAACACTAAATCCCAGAAAAAGGGAGTTAATCAATAACTTCTTTATCGTGGAATCGACTAATAATAATAATAATAATAATAATAATAATAATAATAACAATAATAATAAAAAGAATTATAGTAGTAGTAGTAGTAGTAGTAGTAGTAGTAGTAGTAGTAGTAGTAGTAGTAATAATGATAATATTGATAATAGATATCTACTCCTCTTCCTCTTACTTCTGACTCATTTTACTGTAATTGCTGGTTCATTCTGACTGCTGTCTTTCAACCATACCCCTGAACTTAAGGCAGGTAAGAACAATCACCAAGCCTTTTCGGATAAAGGGCGAAGAATCTCGGAAGTCCTGCGGGAAAGTTGTATGAAAGTTTCGCACGTTACATAGTTCATGGTGGTCTCACAACCGATAAGAGTAGACTTCGGTCGCTACCCAGGAAAAGTACTGAACTAATTAATACTAAAACTGAAAGTACCCGTGTCAGTATAAAACATACAGAGTTCATTCGAAATCGAAATGTAGCTACCTGAAGGAAAACAACCGTACTTAATTGGAAAAAAACCGGTCACATACGTAAAAATATGCTGTACAGCAGGTCGAAGAACTATCGTGTGGTTAAAAATTCGTGGTGCAACTTATCCTCAATTATTTCTTTGACGGGTAAATCAATGTCACCCATTTATTGAACTGCACTTTGCATCAATTTGTCTCAACTTAATCATATTTTCTCATAACAATTGAGCTAGATTTTTTATTAAAATTTTCTCATAAATATTTATAAAATACTACAATTTAATCTCCTTCATGTGGAAAATAGGAGAGTTCACAGCACTTCCCGCTTCTCACGCATATATTGCTTACGCATGGCCTCGTCACTGCTCACCAGTGACACTTTTAGAGGCAACACTTTCGCGCATGCATAAATGCAATCTCCTAGGAAATGACAAATGGAATTGTTAACAACTTCTTCTCCATCTTTATAATCTACAGACGAGAAGTAGCAAGATGGTGGAGAGCAATCATTGGCGGTATTTTAACAGTAAGGTGCCTTGGACTTGACTTTATTGGATTCTGGTTAGAATTTTAGATTCTTCAAACGATTTTCAGATATCATCAGAAATAACTCGCAATATGTCAGTAATATAACTTACGAGTAAAAAAGTATACAACCGTGTATCCCACTCTTTTTCAGTAGCGATGCACTTGTGCCAGTACGCTTTGGTTTTAAAATAATAAAATGTAATCATCCATGGTTGCAAAAATTGAGTTTTTAAAAATTCAAGGTTCATTCCGCACCAGTTGTTACAGAAATTGATTTTATAATAAATAAACTGTTGGATTTTTAAAAAACACTAAAAAGTAAAGTTGTTCCCTCATCCGATATGGACATTGGGGATTGCCTTTTTAGTGAGACAACTTCCTGAGCCTTCAGCATAATATGGAAGGGTGGCCTGCTCCTTTCCACGCCGGCTTTACTTCCCCAAACTCAAAGCCAGGTACCCATTACTGCTGGGTGGGCAGGAAGGGGCGAAAAAAATCCGTGTTCGAACCTAGGCTCGAACCCGAACTTTCCTCTTAGGAGACGAGCGCACTAACAATCCCCAATGTCCAGATCGGATGCCGAAAAAAACTTTACTTTTATTTCCCAGCTCATTGGACGTAAATCTTTCAAAATCTGAGGACACCACTTTCTATATCATTTCTTAAAATAGGTATTCATTTAGAAATTTTCTATCTAGAATGCAGAGTACAGGTGTTTACAAAAATATTGATCTGTTGAGACAAATTGACACGAGTCATTGGGCAAAAAGTATAAGAATAGTATAAGAAATGAAGAGCTGTGGGAAAGGACAAGACAAAAGGATATAGAAGTAGAAATAGGACTAAGAAAGTGACGATGGATGGGACACACCTTAAGAAAAGCCCAGCGGAAACATCACAAGACAGTCACTGCAGTGGAACCCACAAAGAGCACGAGGCAGGGGTAGGCCACGGGAAACATGGAGGAG